GCGCTTCAGTCTGAATCTCAGGACTTGTTTAAATCTCTAAAGGTTAAAGTGCGTAACATTTCTTGTCTCCTTGTGACCTGCAGGGAAGGATGTTATTGGCCTGGCGGAGACTGGTTCAGGAAAGACCGGTGCCTTCGCTCTGCCTATCCTCCAGTCGCTGCTGGCCTCCCCCCAGAGGCTTCACACACTTGTTCTCACCCCCACTAGAGAGTTGGCATTTCAGATCTCTGAGCAGTTTGAGGCCCTGGGCTCCAGTATCGGCGTTAAGTGCGGTACGTGTCCTTGAAAGGTGAGGCGGCTTGCAGTAGTGCGGGAGGCTCTGTGCTCTAAATCAGTCTCTCTTCCGTTGCAGCCGTGATAGTCGGTGGAATCGACATGATGTCCCAGTCCCTGGTGTTAGCGAAAAAGCCGCACATCGTTATTGGTAAGACTTTACCTTTAAGAACGTTGCATATTTTTCACACTTCACACGTCTGCTTATGTTCACCCACTGTTGTAATGTTTGTATCCTTTATAAACTGATTTTGATGATACACTTTTAAGTAAAAAAAATCGTTTTGTTTTTTTCCAGCCACGCCCGGCCGTTTGATCGATCACCTCGAGAACACAAAGGGCTTCTCTCTACGAGCGCTGAAGTTCCTGGTCATGGATGAAGCAGACAGAATCCTCAACATGGACTTCGAAACTGAGGTCAGTAGCTTCCTATTGGTAGGAGACTCACTGTAGCACCTCAGCCACATCCTCCTCAGTGTGCTGTTAAATGGCAGGCTCAAAGGTTATTGATGAAAGCATTTTAAAGTGAATGTGACAACCTTTATGGCAGTTTAAATCCAAAAAGTGAAATTTACCTAAACTTCGCATTACTAGCCGTAAGCTGGTAAAAACCCGAGTTGACGTATATTTTTTTGGTTGACAGTGGAGCATTTTGAAAGATTACAAATAGCCGATAGGCTGAGCTTTAAATTAAAAACCTGCTGGCTACGGGCTCCACACCTCCAACGCCTCAGGCTAGATTTGCGCCTGTGACGTGTCCATTTGTGAAGCTCTTTGCAGAGAAGGTTTTCAAGAATTTAACCTGTACAAATTTCAAGAAGCATGTAGCCCATGTAGACTGTCATTTTTATATCTATTATTTATTTTATTTTTTTTACCAGGTGGATAAAATCTTGAAGGTGATCCCAAGAGAAAGACGCACTTTCTTGTTCTCGGCTACCATGACCAAAAAGGTATCTTTGTGTTCTTCCCTCTTTATCAACTCTAGATGACGGAGAACGTTAGTCGCGTTTCTTTTAGCCGTCCTTGTCCTGCACATTATGGGGGACAGTAATAAGCAGCTGCCAGAGTAGCCTTTGCCTGACCTTCTGTCATATGTTTACAGGTCCAGAAACTAGAGAGAGCAGCTTTGAAAGATCCTGTGAAGTGCGCGGTGTCTACGAAATACTCCACAGTAGACAAACTGCAGCAGTACTACATCTTTATACCATCTAAGTACAAGGTAGGGTGCACACGTGTACATGTGCTGACCATGTGCTGACAGTTGTGTTTGTGACTTGCTGAAGCTGTTTTATATTCAGTAAGTTTAGCTCTTGGTTTTGCCAACAGGACTGCTACCTGGTTTCCATCCTGAACGAGCTGGCCGGGAACTCCTTTATTATTTTCTGCAGCACGTGTAACACAGCCCAGCGGGTGGCGCTGTTGTTAAGGAACCTCGGCATCACTGCTATCCCTCTACATGGGCAGATGAGTCAGGTAAAGCTTCAGAGACTCGGTTGAGTATAAGGATTTAACCTGAGATGTTAGCATTCATTATAGTGCCTGCTGCTCTGTCAGCATTACCTACGCATACTATAAAACCCTGTAAACAGTTTGGTTTATGATCACACTTGCAACACATGCTAAAGTCATGCTTAATTAACTTTACGTGCAAGTTAGTGTACTTTTTGTACCATTTGGAAACATCTGGAAGTCAATGTCATGGTCTGCAGTTTACCATAAGCAGTCTACAATCAAATCTACATTCAAATCAGGCTGCAGTTCACTTAAATGTTTGAATAGAGCTCTTTGCACCATCTAAGATGCTGTTTTTGTAGACCAAGAAAAATTTCTTTCACTCACGAATGAAAGTGAATGTTGACCAGCTTTGGTCCCGTTTGGCTGGATGTCAGCCCTCTTTCTGGTTTTGTGGCATTACAGCAAATGTGACCTAATGTATGATATGAGTTGTGTGTAAATATGCACACAGACATTTATCAAATGGAGTTTTTAAGGAAGTGAAAGTTTTCCCTTTTTCTTTCTGGTGGATACTGTGATGTGATCTGGATCTTCCTTCCTTCGCCGTGCAGAATAAACGTCTTGGAGCTCTGAACAAGTTCAAGTCCAAGTCTCGGTCGGTGCTGCTGGCGACTGACGTGGCATCCAGAGGACTGGATATTCCTCATGTCGACTGCGTCATCAACTATGACATTCCCACTCACTCTAAGGTACCGAGGCGCTGATAATCATGTTGGTGGTGCGTTTGATGATTTATTTCACTTCACCGATGAGCTGATCTGTGGATGTGTTTGATCCTACAGGACTATATTCACAGGGTTGGCCGAACAGCCAGAGCAGGACGATCTGGAAAATCCATCACTTTCGTCACTCAGTAAGAAGGGCCTTTTTATCGTCACCAGTCATTCCATATACAATAACATCTCTGCTTTGTTTCCACTTATTGCCATTTTTATACCATTTTGACATGGTTGAGTAAGTTGCGCAATACTGTGGTTTGGAGAGGAAGGTCACTGCAGCAAGTAAATGTGTCTGGTGTCCATATAACCATAGGTATGATGTGGAGCTTTTCCAGCGAATTGAAAGCTTGATTGGGAAGAAACTTCCAGCCTTTCCAACCCAAGAGGAGGAAGTGATGATGCTGGTGGAGAGGGTGAGCGAGGCCCAGAGATTTGCCAAAATAGTAAGTCATCCTGTCTTTATTGTGTCTTTTCTCTGTATTTGTCAGGTATAGCCTAAAATTTGAAGAAGAAAAAAACATGCTGTGTGAAAACAATGGTGCATAAACCCGTCTGAGCCTGCCTGGCCAATGCATCAGTATTTAGTGGTATGTTTCTACATGAGGTGATTTGAGCTTTGTGACACAGTGTGTTATCCTCTTGAAATCAGCCATCAGAAGATGGATACAGCGTGGTCATAAACAGATGGACATGATCAGACAGGCTGTGGTGTATGAACAGTAAACAGTTGGTGCTAAGGATCCCAAAGTGTGCTGGAAAAATATCCCCAAAACCATTACACCACCAGCAACCTGAGCTGTTGATAAAATGTCGTTTATGCCAACTGTTACCATCCTATCCAATTGTGGCAGCAGAAATCAACACTCATCACACAAGGCAACATTTTTCCAATCTTCTGTTGTCCTTCTGTTTCATGAGACCATGCAGCTTCTAGCCTCAGTTCCTTGTTTTTAGCTGACAGGAGCAGCACTCTGTGTGGTCTTCTGCTGCCGCAGGTCATCTGCTTCAAGTTTCGAAGCAGATGACCAGAGAACTGACCACACTGGATATTTGCATTAACAGGCAGGTGTAGGTGGTAAAGTTGTTGGGGAGTGTAATGATTTAAATGTAACCATATATTTAAAAGAGCAATGACTGCAAGCATAAACTAAAAGTTACGAACAAATGTTTGAAACTTGGCTAAACCTTGGCTAATTTCTTCAAAAATACATATTTAGAAATGTTTGATTTTTTTAAATTAAACTTGTTCCGTCTTGACCTAAAATGCCTGTATATAGAATATAGTCAGCTATTAGTGTAGATGAACATTAAGAAAACGTTTGTGTTCCCCAGGAAATGAAGGAGCAAGGCGACAAAAGGAAAAGGCCAAAAAGAGGGGACGGAGACGATGATGACACGGAACAGGCGACCGGCGTGAGGAAGAAGGTTAAAGGAGGAGGAGGAGCAGGAGGAGGAGGAGGAGGGAAGAAGCGTGGCGGAGGAGCCTGGAGGGGCGGACGCTGAAGAGCCCCAACATTAACAGACTGTACAGAACTATGACATACAACGCCTTTACCGTCTTTTGAAACCTTCATTGTTATGACACGTTTTCCACTGCTTCGTTAGTAAAGTGAATGACTATTTAATTACAGAAAACACATGTTTTTCTCGACCCTGGTGACATGTTTCCATTTGTAATAAAACTTAAGAAGTCGCACGATTGTGTGAGCTGGTGCCGCTGCTGATGTTGCTTTCAGACACAAGAGGGAGCTGTTTCAGTCAAAAGCCACATTATCTTTTATTAAGAAGTACTTAACCCTTCTTGTTTTCTAGCTTTTTTGTTTAGAAAACATGTGAGGTATTAGACAACAATAACAATGCGTGGCAAATTGAGGCGTTTTTATAATGCATGCAAGCAGCAGTTGCAATAGTTATTATGTTTTGGGGTTTTTTATGCTTGTCAGTGGTTTGCAGCAAATTGGGGGGTTGGTTTGTTCCAGCCAATAGTGGAGAAGGGCAGAGAAAGACCGCAAAGCGAGAGCCCAATCGCTTCTAGGCTGCATGTAGTGGGTGTGCAGTGCCTAGATATTTGTGGGATAGATCTTAAAAGGTATCCACCGCAGCATAATGCCCGACAGTGTATTCATTATTGCTGCCTTCATTAATGCCATTGAGGGGATTCTGACAGGCGTGAAGGCACGCACATAAAAATTTATTAGCGGCTGAATCCTGACAAGAGTGCGACAGTGTGGCGTATTGATCTGCGCGATCACTTTCTAGTGCGCACAGTCCACCGTAGGCGGGAGCAGCGGTGGTCAAGCCTGCTCTCTTTAGGAGGGGCCCCAGTGTGGAGGCAGCACTGTGCACTGTGGTGCATACCGAAGCCCAGATACATGCCTGCATTTCACTTGTGGCTAGCAGCTGTATAGTTGCGTTCAGGGTCGAATCAGGGGGAGCTTTGTGAACAGGTTCTGACTGCTGCAGGTAAGTTTGCTCGCGCCAGCCGCGAGGGCGAAGAACGATGGGGCGCGTGGTGATTATTACGGCGTCAGTGAGTGAGCAGCCTCCGGGATAGGGGATGGAGGTCGCTCTGGAAACTTACTTTGGCTGTAGTCTTTATTTGAGTAGCGGGGTTCAAAATCCACCGCTCGGCGTCATAAGCGCTCTGGTTGACCTCGAGGACTCTTTCTCTCTCTTTTTTTCTCTCACCATAGAAACGTGTTAATTGGTAACACCTGAACTCTTAATACGTAACAGAAAAAGTGCAGACTGTGGTAAGCTAGCTTTATGACTCTACTTTCTTTTGGCTCATGACAAAAATTTTCTCCGACAGTAACCTTAATTTTTGTTTATCCTAATGGTTGTTCTCCAGACAATAACTTTTAGCTGCTGTTACTCGTTCTTTTAAATTAACCGTGTCGTGACTTATTCCCGTTACCCACTTATGTAGCTAGCTCCATCAGTTGCGCAGGTTTATTACGCAGTTATTAGCCTAATATTTGGAAGGGCGACTTCAGCTGCATGTTTCAGGCGTTTATAGTTTCCAGAGCTACCTGGATAGGTGTTAAAATTCGGGTTATTTTGTATACAGCGAGCTCCCTGGAGAACGAGAGCGACTTATTGTATGTGACACTCACAGTACGTCGTCCATCTGTCCCGTTTGGTTTTCTGGCAGAGCGGTGTAGTCTCCGCAGTACGCGCATTATTGTTGTGCAGTGCCAGGCTGCCAAACCTACACTGAAGTCTGACTCGCAACTTTTATTTGATTGTCTGACATATGAGTTCCCTTCTTCACTGTATTACTTTATTATACCAGCTATGAATCAAGAGACATACTTAAATTCATGCATATCTATGTGATGTATAATGATCAGTGAATTCTACTAAATTCATAAGTATTAGTGTCACTGGACGTTTCTGCCATTATTGGATCTATAGTGATGACTACAAGTGGGAATCACCAGACACTAAGTTCATAATGCCATGTTATTTTAACAGAACTACTTTGCCATCTGCTGAGAATTGCAGTAGTATATATCACATTCTTTCAACTGCAAATCATGCCCTGAAAGTTGAAGTTTTTATCTCACTTCAGTTATTTATTTATTCATTTATTCACTAAAACCTAACATACGACAGATTCAGTCTGCTATTGAATGGGGTGAAATTGGCATCTACATGCAGTCCTTTTCTGATAATTGTAATATATCTTCAAAAATCACTGTTGCTGTCTACATAGACAGAAATTCACATTTAACAGAAATGTAACAGAAACTGTTGCACTAAGCAGCGTTCCTGTTTTATAGGAATATAACTAGAATATAACCAGCTGGCAGCCAGTTGTGTGGAGTACCTTTGAGTTGTGCTCGCTGACAATGACTCATTCAGACTGATGGCAGCATGTTGGCAATCCGTCTGTATTTATAAATTAGCTAGTTATCTGCAAACCTCCATCACTCACTCTGAGAGTGACTACAGTCAGAGTGCAGCTGTTTGCAGAAAGGTTACTTCCTATGAAGTGAGCAGTGCAATCCCATTGCGATCAAACACACACACACACACACACTCCTGTTGATCACATAGGGTGAGATGTAAAATTTGACTAAATTTCACGTTTTGCTACTTATCGCTGCACCCCCTTTTCTTCTAGGTGGCCATATTGTGGTGATCATTCCCAGTTAAAATGTCTCATCGGAGTGGGCAAGAGGACCCAGAGCGCTACCTGTTTGTGGACCGGGCTGTGGTTTACAACCCAGCCACACAGGCTGACTGGACGGCCAAGAAGCTAGTGTGGGTCCCCTCCGAGCGCCATGGCTTTGAGGCGGCGGGTATCCGAGAAGAGCGTGGCGAGGAAGTGCTAGTAGAGTTGGCAGAGAATGGTAAAAAGGTGGTGATCAACAAGGATGACATCCAGAAGATGAACCCACCCAAATTTAGCAAGGTGGAAGACATGGCTGAACTCACCTGCCTGAATGAGGCGTCTGTGCTGCACAACCTGAAGGACCGCTACTACTCTGGACTCATATATGTGAGTGACTTAGACCTGGAGCCTTCAAAAGGTTCTTTTTTTTTTTCTAACAGTTTACTGTAAACTCAACACACTGGTGGATGGTTGACCTCAAAATTATTTCTCTGGCTGTTCTGCTCGTTGCAGGCAGTTGTTTCGTGTTTAGTCACCTGTCTTACAGTCTTGGTTAAAAGTGAGATCTGATATTTATCCATCTTTGTTTAGGGAAAAAAGCAGCTCATCTGAGTGACTCATGACCACACAAACACACTCACATATTTGCACACAGAATGACTGACAGAGCTCCATGGTCTTAAATGCCATAACTTCTCTCTCACCTTGGCTAAAGACAGACCTTTGCCATAAACCTTGCTGGTGTCACCCTAACCCCCACATTCCTTTATTTTAGCTGTTTCTCAGATCACAAAACAACCCTATCAGTTCAGTTTTTCTCATCCACATGACCATGTTTAAAATATATTACACATGTAGACCAGTCAGGGAAATCTCTGGTGTCTGTATATCTAAATGTTTTGTAGTAGTGAAATTTTACGCAGAGTCTGGAGTGGTCTCTATCACTGCATCGCTTCTGTCCCCATAATCCAGTTTCACCACAGATGAAGCAGCTCTGTGACGCGATCTTGACCCATTTAGTGACATGTTTACCAGGAATAGAATGTGGGTTAGTTTTTACCTGAGAGACTGTGGTTCGGGCGCTGCTGGGTGACTCGTTGCACTTATAAATGAGCCTTTCATCCAACAAGACGTGATAAAGTGAATGCAGCAACGCATTGCAATCGTCAAATGCTTAAAAGTATTATTATAATTTGCCGCTACCAAAATGGAAGAAAGCATTTCAGCAATTTCCCATATGGCTTGAATTTCCATGTCATTCCACCAGCTCCCTCTTCAGTTTCTTCCTAATACCATGGTGTCATGGTTTCAGTTTTTTTCTGGGTTCAGAATTGGCTTTGGTGCTTGTTAATTGTCCCCTTGCCTAAGAGAAATTGAAAACATATGTCTGACTGTGTTGGTTTTCTAAAAGGAAGAGAATTTTCTCCTGTTTAGCTCACTGTTAGAAAAAGAAACCCCCTGTGCTTGAAACTTCTTTCCAGTGTGTTTGACTTACCCCCCAGAGCTCTGATATATCTACTGCAGACATAATATAATGCCTACCCCAAGGCTGTGCTTTGAATTGAGATAATTGGAAAGACCTCTGTATCGGAGTCATAATATGATTCTGCAAGTCTTTTACAAGTTGAGGTCTGTACTAACTGTTTTTCTAAACCTGTAAAATATTTTCATAGGTTTGCCTTTAGGACACAATTACTGTTTTCAATAACCTAATATTAAAGGGACTCTGTAGTTTGGTCTAACTGTACTTAGAAGACCTATGTTGATAATCCCCAATATCACAATCCACATTCTAGCAGACAATGGTAAATGGCCTGTATTTATATAGCGCTTTTACTAGTCCCTAAGGACCCCAAAGCGCTTTACATATCCAGTCATCCACCCATTCACACACACACTGACTTCATCCCGCTTTGTATTTCAGCTACTCTGCACTTCAGAAGAAAATCCTTTTCTACTTGAACACTACACATAAAGTCGACGTGAAGCTTTATTTTTGCACCGTTTTTGTTAATTTAAATTTGCAATTGTAGGTTGTTGTGTATGTTTATACAGTACAGGACTTACTGTACTATGTCTTTATGTATCAGGTACTTAGAAACTAGGGGTGCAACGATACACAAAATTCACGGTTCGGTTCGATACTTTGGTGTCACGGTTCGATATTTTTTCGATACAAAAAAAATGTTCATGCCTTTTTAATTTGTCATTTATTAAAATTATAAATATATATTTTAACTCAAAAGTACAGTTTTGAAATCACTCATCTTTGGAAAAGACAGTTTATTACAGAGAAATGGCTCTTTCCAAAATAAAAGCTATACTATACGCTTCTTCTGGGCTATATTCTCAGCAGCATATTAAACATATCAGGTCCCCACAAGGAGAATTAAAAATTAAAAATTTTGTATTGTTCGATACATATGCGTACCGAACTGAAAGCACTGTTTCGAACGGTTCAATATTGATACGAGTATCGTTGCACCCCTATTAGAAACTGTATTGCTTTGAGAGAATGTCTCACACTGGTGTCCCTTGTGATGTTATATTATTTCATTTTCAATTGTGTAAGCTTTGAAAATTCAAGTTAAGTGGAGTAGACTGAGCTCCTGCTGAGCTAGATGAGTCAGTAGGTCAGTAATGCACATTCTGTATGTTAAGGTTACTGTGAAGAAAACAAATCTTATATATTGTTGCCGAAACATGCAGAAAAATCAACTGTGGGCGTCCAGTAATTTTCCAGTGTGTATCTTTACTGTTAATTACAATCACACATCTGTTACTGGTCAGTGAAATCCTAGTTTCTGTGTGATTTTTCTATCCTGTACAGCCTCTTTTGTATGGCCCTTTGTAGAGCTGACGGCTTGTTTCGTGTAAAGTCAGGCCGCCTGTCAAGCTGGCTCACTAAATTTGGCACCTTTCTATCTGTACAGTGGTGAGTCACAGGCTAGCCACCATGCTACTCACTAGCTGGGCTACAAGCAAGCCTTTGTGTTGTTAGATAAGCCTCAGCTGTCAGAAAGCCTCAGCATTCTTCCACGGCAAAAAGACCATCCGTCTGTCTGTCTCCTGCCGCCTACTTCAGCTCTTCTGCTGCTCAGTGTCTGTCCTATCTTCATCAACTCAGTTCCTTTTCCCACACTCAGTCTGCCTCTCCGCTCTGACGTACTTGTCCTGGAGAATAATGACATAGATTTTCTTTCTTTCTTTGTTTTATGGCATGCATTGGTTTTCTATAAGTATCAGCTGATTTTCACTCTGTTGACCGATCATCAACTTCATGTATCGCAGTTTTGCACTAAAAATGTGTATGAAAACTCTTACTTTAAACATCAGTATTGGCCCACAATCCATTTCTTTCTTATTGATTTCAAATATTTGCGTAGTTCCTACACTATGGCCCTGCTCAGAATGATTACATTGTAATAGTGGATCTGCCTGCAGGTCTAGAGCAGGCGCAACCTAAGAAAGAGAAGAAAACCTGCATGGCCAGGCTCATCCTTATAACTTTGTAGAGAAAATGTTTTAATATGATTAGATTAAAGTCATCGGTTGACTTCTATTTCTGGAGGAACTTAGGTTGGTTATGATGTAACCTGTTGCTGTGCTATGATTGTTCTTCATTTTGACTCTTAGATTTCTACAGAAATAAAATGTGTGGTGGATGTAATGCCATAGATTCATACAGCTTTTCTGATAGCATATAGTATGTTTTATATAATGGGCTCCACTGCCTTAAAGCTTATACATTTGATCGTTCTGCTGCTGCTGTTAAACTGATTGGATACCACACATACCAGTGTTTTACTTCAAAAGCCAAGTCTGAAGTATTTATTAGCTTTGCTATGAAATCAGTGAAGCAGAGCCCCGTTGGGGAACTGGTCAAAGTCTACTGTAGTCCACACAGATTAGTGGCGCCGAGCAAGTCTCTGCACTCAGAGTGCCCTTAACGGCTTTTGGAGTGGAGAAAGTCCCGTCAACGTAGGCCTGCTGTCTGACTGATCAGAGGTGGCAGATGGGGTCGGCTGTTGTGTCTGCTGTTGGCTATGTGTTGCTCAGCTGTTACTAGGCCACGGCATCCCCTCCCCTGGATCTGATTTCACAGTGGAAATATCACCTTCTCTTTCCTGGACTGGGCCAGGCGTGGCTTCTTGTCAGGCGGTGTTAAGTTAGCTGTGTCCTCTGCTAGTTGGCAATAGCAGTTGTTAATGGTCTTCGTACTGGATTTATCCTGCAGGATATTTCACAATAAGAATATCCTTATTTTATTTTTCTCATATTTGCATATGTTTGAGGAATAATAACCACTTAATATTCTGGCATCATTTTTTTTTTCACTGTGACAAACCATTATGAATAAGAGAGGAGCTGAAAATAGTGTTTTATGACAAAAGACATCTTACTTGACCCTCAAAATGAACAAGAAATCTATAGATAAGGGCGGGTCTGCTCTGTGCAGTTTTAACCAAATAAAACATGAACATAGAATGTGATACAGCAAACTTCAAGTCCAGGTATCTCTCTGCAGCCACACCAGCTGCTTTTGCACTAAATGCTGCAGAACTAAACCATGGAAACAGAACAGACTCTCCATTTATAGCAGCTCCAGTTTTCAGATACGGGGGAATTAAATTTTCATTAGCCTTCGAAAAGGAGAGTGGAGAGTTAGAGTTTCAGCAGCTCTCTCCCCCTCATGTAGGGAGCAATTTACAGAAAGGATGAGAGCATGGCTAGGTGTTTTTTTACGCCTCTGCTTCTCCATTGGATTGGACCACAGGGAGCTCCGTCAGCTGGATCATTGCTCTGCTCTTCATCCTCGTCTGCCTCTCTCTACTTCATCGCCTTCTTTCTTCTGTATCAGCAGCACAGCATCAGTTGCTCAGTGCTGACTTAGGCCCCTGACTGAGCTGTTACGTAACAGCTACAGTACGCTGTGTGCTCTCCGGGTCCTTTGTGATCGTCTGCTGAGTCACTCAGGTAGAAGTCCCAGTGCTGTACTCAGCCTTAGGTGCAGCGTTAATAATGAAGCAGGTGTCATGATGTGTGATGCTTTGATACAAAAAGACCCCAGAAGGAGATTGCTTTTCCAAATATTGTAGCTTTGTTTACTAGTTGTACTATATTAATGGCTGAGGAAGCGATAGAATAAATAGCTTTTTAAATATTTACGGCTCTTCAAAACAAAGGCTCTTATTATGGACAACAGTTCATGGAGCATTTGCCTTTTAAATTTATTTATTTCTGAACTGCATTTGTCATGTTGACAGTCAAAAGAGGAACCTGATCGTCAAAATAATTTCAGTTTCATAGATCAGATTTCTATTTCCGGACTTCTCCTCTGCTCGAGAGGTTTTAGTGATTGGTTTGTTGCCTATTTTATTTTGCAGGATTACTCAAAAGGCAACTGCTTGAAAATTTAACCAGAAGTGAAGTTGGGCCCAAAATAGAAGTTATTAACTCTTGGAATTGATCCAGATTGAATCTGGATCATCAACACTTAAGAGAGTGCACAATTGGGCATTTTGTGTAATATTTTTCACAAAACCACATCAAGTTGAAATAAAAATGAAATGAGGATTGTTCTGATGTTCTCAAGAAAATGGAGCAGACTCATCCAGACTCTGATATCCTTCTGGAACCCATGAGCTTAATTCAAGCATGGTCTCAAGTGAATTTTTATCATTGGTGGAGATATGCACCTCTGGAATTATGTTCATATTTTTGTAAGTAGTGTTAAGTAACACTGCACAAACATATCTGTAACTCCAAGTAGCTAGCAGAGAGGTGCCCGACTCTGGTGCCCAGGGTGTTTAGCCATCTCGGCCTCACAGATTTATAATATCCATCTATCGTTTGTTCAACATCTGGCCCTAATTTTTTTAGTTATATATGAGGTATTAACTCACTGAAAGAGGCATAACTCAAGGTATGCGTTATTATTACTTTCTTAAGGTTCAGTCACTATAGCTGTACTTTATATTCTGTAAATACAATGGAGATTTGTGTGGGCTCCTGGAATAAGCCTAGCATGTCAGTGTGAAGGTCATACTACCGTGAAGCAGCCTTTTCTCTGTGTCATCCATAGGGGAAATGTGAAGCCCCTATAGCATCTGCAGAATGAGCGAGAGCCACTGCCCCACCAGGGCCCCTCACGCCGTCTGCCTTGCTTTCTGGTTGAGTCAGATTCAGCCTACAGCATAGCTCAGAAGCCTTCGTACCGCACACACTCTCTAGGGAGACATTGTCAAGCTAATGGCATAGCCAAATGCAACACCGCAAGTCAGAAAGTAGGCTAAACATTTGCAGTGCACACTGTTTGCTCTAACATGAGTCTTTATAATATTCCATAAACTCATTATTCATATTAATGCGGTGCTGTTTTGGATTAAAAAGGCTCTCTGGGTATTGCACACAGACAAGTGTCTGCTCAGTGTTTCATTTATCAGCATTCCCTCAGATCTGCTCTGCTCTGCGTCTATCACTGTCTTGCATGCCAGCTATGATGATGTAAGCTACCAAAATGTGGGTAATGACAAGTCTTCCTGCACTGATAAAATGCAAGCTAGATGATTTATAAAACCAGAAATGTACATGCTCCTTTCAATCTAAAAGACCTTAATGTTTTACACATCCTGTTTGTATCCACTTATGGTTCCATTGAGCCTTTATGTGATCATTGTGAGCAAACTTGAGAAACATCCACAACAGACCTAATCATATGTTCTTTTAGTTCTTAGAGAACTCTTTGATATTAACCTCCATGTTTGTTTCATATCTTTAAATACAGACATACTCTGGGCTTTTCTGCGTGGTCATCAACCCCTACAAGAACCTGCCCATCTATTCAGAGAACATCATTGAGATGTACAGAGGGAAGAAGAGGCATGAGATGCCTCCGCACATTTATGCCATCTCTGAATCAGCATACCGCTGCATGCTTCAAGGTATGTTACACATCTGCTCTTTGGAAATGGACCTTTTGCTATGATTACTTGAAAACTACAGTATGTAAAATAAGTGATAAACACATTTAAGGGTAACTTAACTTATTAGCAAACAGGTATAATGGAAGCTGAAGAACTTTGGTGTTTATCTCACTTGCGAGCAGGATTGGGTTTGCCTGTATAGTGTTGGAGATTAGTGTGTGAATATAGTTGTGTAATGTATGTGGAAGGTCACAAGGTCAGAGAGGTGTCTGTTATCACTGAAGGGGTCAAGTAGCAGATTAACTATGTGGCAGGTTTTCCAGGTGTATGGCTGGGGTCAGTCAGTTAATTGGTAATTGCAGGGTAATGCAAGGCTGTTCAACACAGTCTTTATCCTTTAAACACCAGGCAAAGAGTTTTACATCAAAGCTTTAAGTTGCATCGTTTATTCTTAGCTTGTTCTCACAAATACTGGCCAGAGGTCTGCTAATGTAATGTTTTTGGCTGTCTACATAATTATTTCTCCAAACCATGAACTGATTTGCCTTTTAAACCACTGCAGTATTTTTTCCAAGCTGAAATGAAGACAGAAGTTTACTTTATAATGGTGGCATTTTTAGGAGAGCCTTAGGCTGGATGTCTCAGATTAGGAGGGGGACATAAAATGGCATTTTCAGCCCCATGGTAGCTGAGAGCCGTAGCATTTCAACTTTCTAACTCAAGGCTTGGTAGTGCCAAAAGCCAAGGCTTGTTCCTCTGTCTCACTCCTATGGTGAACCATCGTACCATCTGCAATACCGCAGAACCACATGCAGGTTTGAAAGGAAAAAATGTGGTGCTTCAGCTTCCACTGAAATCACAGAACCACTGAGCCATAATCAAACACAGGGCAAAAATAGCGTAAGCTCCTGTATATGTTTGATATATGATGTAATGTAGCCCCAAAGAGTTGAGCTAAAAATCTCATCACTGGGGATGTTTTATAATTTAGGTAGAAATTTCAGTATTGACATCATAGTACAGTGGTATCTTTTACTATGCAGCACATAAGCACGTTTAAGTCTGCACTATGTCTTTAAAAGGTTAGATTTGTGCAGCCAAAACTTCTTACTTTGAATTTTCAGATACTGATTTAGTTTTTTATAGAAACACCGTAGTTCTGAGATCCTCTCCTTTTTGTTCAGTTTGAAAAACGTGATTGTTTTGGAAATTTAAGCCAGGTCAGCTAAAAGGTTTAGTATATCATTGCTTTGTTTCAACAGAAAGAGACAGTAGTCTCTTTCTGTGTTTCAGATGAGCGTAATGTGCTGTGAGTTGCGAGAGTGAAGCCTCTAAGCTCCTAATAATGTGTGTAGCGAGAGGCTCGCCTGGTAGACCTGATGCCCTGTGACAAAGGAATTTATAGCAAAAGTAAAGGAGATACAGAAAGGCAGGGCAGACACCGAAGGAGGCAAAGTGAGAAAGCAGGTTTTAAAAACATCAGTCTTCAAGTTGTCATTAACTTGACCTGCAGCACAGATTGGTTTTCATCTTGCAAATACACTGCATAGTTGGTTCATGTCTTGAGCTACAGCTGTTGCATACTTGAACTTACGGTGTAGCTGGAGCTCATCAAAATCCACCCGGCCTGCTGTAGGATAGACAGCAGGAAAAGGTTAATAGAGCATGCATTATTGGAAAAGAGTTGCACAACTTGTTTTGATGGTCTTTTATTGAAGCCCACACTAGTCTCCTTTTTGTAATTCTAAAAATGTCATCATGTGAGCATGATTACAATATAAAGACCCACAAGACACAAGGCCATGACCCAGTTTGAATACCAACTAATTGTTTTTGAATTTCTGATGTAGAAGGACTGCTGTGATAAGCAGAACCTTTATTAGAGTTTATCAGTGTTTAGACAGCTTTAGCCTGTCTGCTCTGAGCCATCGCGGTCACTAGAACAACAGTGTTCATGTCTCCCTGTTGTTTCTCTTGAGTCTTCTTTCACATCTGAGGGTTTTGATTCTTTAAATAGCGTGTTTATTTGTACCTGTTTCAGCTTTATGCGACAGTAAGAGGCCTTTCCCACTAGTACCTGCTCATGTTAACTTGGCAAGGCTCGACTCAGTTTTTAGGGTTTTTCATTAGGTGGTAATACCTGGTACCTGGTACTTTTTTTGGAGTACCTATTCGGCCAGGGCTCCAAGTGATCTGAGCTGATGTGGCTTCACTCAATGAGTCATGAGAGCATCACCTCCACAAAATCAAATTAAAATTCAAAACCTGGCAACGAGGGAAATGGCTACACAAAAAAACAACGCTGTGGTCCCTGAGTTTGACCTATATCCATAGACAAAGCAGAAGGCATACCATCACCATACCATGGCATGTGACACATGCAAATGACATCACGGGACTTTCGGCAGTATCACTATAAAAACACTACACGCGTTAGGTGGTGCTGGGTTGTGATGGAAAATGTCCAAAGTCGAGTAGATATAAGTGAAAAAGGGCTATAACTGTCTGGTGGACCTGCTGCAGCTGTAAAGCTTCAGGGTTTGTGTGTCTGACTGATGTGCTGAAGGCTTCCTGTCATGACCTCAGGCTGTTCTCTGGTCTCTGCTTTCAGCGACTCTCGCCACTCCAGGGAAGTCATAACTGGCCAAAAGTCACATTCAGTTATTTAAAAAATAAGAAAATCGCCCACGTTTAGACCATGTGAAGAGGCCCAGCCAGTATATTGAGATATATATCTGCTTGTAGAGGTACATTTGTTTCAACAGAAACATGTCTTTTAATGGATCAAAGTACTAACACATACTAAATAAATCATATCAAATCCGAAGTACCTCCAAATGGGACTTTAACTAACTTCCTCTGAGGCAAGTTGTGAACTCTCTGCCAGCTTTACCACATGGTTGTTGCTGAAAGATTTCAGGCCTAAATTGACCTTGGATCTGATTTTTAAAGTTTGGTTTTGGAACTTTTAAGGTGGCTCGTGTAGAGTTAGATCCCAAAGTTCTGGGAAAACAAATTTATATAACATGAGGTTAATGTTGCACCTTAATTATATAGCTCCTGTCTTTGTATATTTTCTTCAATGTGGTTTTCAAAACTTTGAATACACACACACACACACTCAGTCTTACCGGCCTGTTGTGCCTTCAGAATGTGTTTGTCTCGATATAGGACACCTCTCTGGTGCCATCATTCTTCTCTCTGACCCCCTTTCTCTCTGTTCATTCTTTCGGACCCCTCACAACAGGCAGGGCAAACCAGGCAGTGGAATGAGGTCATCGCTGCTCCAGCTCTCCATACCTCACTGTGTTAAATTATGCGAGCTGAGTCATTGTCAAGTTCTCATAGTTGTCCAAGCAGCCTGTTCTCTGCTCACTGCTGGGCTGCTGTGAGCAGAGGTAGATCACCGTGGATACCGATGTGTTTATCTGTATATGCAACTAAAATAACCTACCCCTGGGATCTTGAATGGAGGTGTCACTCTGAGTGGCACTATTTAGCTGGCTGCTTCTGTATGAATCTACTTCAGCCTTTTTAATATTTCTGCAGTCTTGTTCAGGATGTCTTTTGTAGCTCCATCTCAAACTATTTGGGATCTCCTACTGATTTCTTTCTCCTCTCAGCAAGTAGAGCAGCTGGCCTCTCTTATTTCTACCCCTTTACTGTTTCACTTACTAGTTTGTTCAGTCCCTTTCTTCCTTTCAACCAGAATGTTTTGGCTCTGAAGACACTGAAGAGGAAAAATTCCCCAAGTCCTTAAAAGCATTTTGGTCGCCTTTCACTTAACATGAAAAATACAAACCGCAGCTCTGCTGGAAACTCTGTGGCAGCGCAGCTTTCTTTGTTCCTTCTGTCTCAGGCTGTGATTAGGAAACACAGGAGAACAAGTGTGGGGAATGTCTACATTCTCATCCCTTCTCCGTGTCAGGATGAAGCCAGGGTTAGACCTCTGTTTAATTGACAACACCGTGTCTCAGTTTTCTCTTATTTCACCTCTCAACTGCTCAGGCCACAAGGCTCAGTTCATGACAGATTTGTCCGTAAGTATTGTAAGTATGCATTTGTGTTTTGTGTTCAGCAGTTTTCATCCATATTTTTTATCCTTTTATGAGTTAGTTGTCTGTTTCTTACTGCTGCTTCACTCTATGAGAAGAGTGCGCCTCACACTCAGGTTGGAACTGTATAATATAGTCATGTTACTGCCACTCGACTCACTTACAGGACTGGTAAGTGAATGCCACAGATAGAGTCACATATACTGACTGCACTCCATAGGAGTAATTTGCTTGTCAAAAAATAGCAAAAAGGGCAATATGAGTGCATCCATTTATGAGTCTTTCTTTTTTCTGTATGCAACAACCTGGTTTGCAGCCTCACATCAACAAATTTGAAAAGCAGATTTTACAGTGAGATTATTTTTATTCTGATCTCCATCACATGGTAGAGATCCAGCACATCTGAGAACACAGATGGTACTGTAGACACAACCTGTTTAGAAATAACTAAAAAAAGAAAAGCAAACCTACTGTCTCCTTCGACTGTAAAGACATTTTCTTTGCTTAGGTATTGTAGATCTCATTCCATATTTATTCTATATACTCATCCTGACGTCAGTGTGATGAGCATCTGTCAGTATAAGGGAAATCTACTGTTAATGTCAGGTGTAAATTCACACAAAACTCATTGTGATTTGAATGGGAGGTGAGGCTTTATAGAGTGAATGCAACCTCAGAAATTAAAGTAATGCTATCACAAAACTTTTTCTTAAACATGAGAACTACAAGTCCCTCACTAAAGAATGCAGTGCATTTCCCTTAGTATAGGTAAGGGGTCGGCAATCCTGGGCACGCGTGCCTGGGTTAACTGATGGCACGACCATAGCTGGACTGGCCATCAGGTATACCGGGCATTTGCCCGGTCGGTCGAAGCGCTTTGGGGTCCTTAGGGACTAGAAAAGCGCTATACAAATGCAGGCCATGGTGATTTTTAGTTTTTATGGGCCGATGATTTTTTTTTCT